GCCCACCTTGGCCTCCCAAATTCAAATTTTGGCCCTCCAAAATCACACCTTGGGATTACAGGTGTGAGCCACTGTGCCCAGCTTGAGAATTAGCAGTTTTAAAAAAAATCTTCATCAAACTAACGGTCCTGGAAGAAAACCTGGTTTTTACAGTTCTAAGATGATAGACGTAATTATAGGTACATATTTAATCTTTGAAAAAATATTTGTTTATATACATGTAGTCTTTCTTGATAGAACACTAAGATAGAGGATCTTTAAGTAGAAGTGATAATATACTCCAGTTTTATGATGTGACTAGTACTGAATAAAAATGATCAAATTTGAAATTTTACCCCCTTGGTATTTTTGACAACTGCTACTAAAGATTATACTTAGGGGAAACCACTTTGAGGTTTCAGTTGAGGGTCCTTATGATATAATAATTACTAAACTTACTGACTAAAAAAGTTCTTAAACTTGTATGATATAGTTATTCTTGCAATGGCCCAGGAAGAAACAGTTAGGAGTGGAATTAAAGAATGTGCATAGAGAAGATTTAATTTAGGTATTAAACGACTGTTAAATAAGCTACTTGGCTGGGTGATGTATATGATCCTACGGTATACTGTATCCTGTTACCTCTCAGACTATTTCCTGCTTTCGCTGACTTGCTCACCACTGGTTTGTCTCTTCTCCAGCCACACTGACTCCTCGTTGTTCCTTTAACTCACCAGGTGTACTGCTTCAGAGCAAATGGTGCTTGTTCTCTTGCATGAAATGTTTTTTGTTTCATTGATTGTTTTCCCAGACATCCTCATGGATAATAGCTCTCTCACTTCCTTTAAACCTGAAGTCATCTGGACACTCTATTTTATTTTAAATTTAACACTCCATCTCCGATATTTCAAATCCTCCTTCAATTATTTTTCCCCTTGGCACTATTAATGTAATCTACTGTATATTACTTATCTTCTTAAATGTGTGTCTCTTCCAGCAGAATATGAGTTCCGTGGGGTAGAGAACTTTGTCTGTTTTGCATAGCACACAGAAGCCTCAATATTTGTTGAATGGTTGAATAAATATATGTGAAAGAATTTCATTGCATGTAACCAAATCCATCCCGTTACTACTGCCAGAATCCCTTCAACAAATATTCCCAGCAATATAGCTATCTAGGCTTTGCTCAAAGATATTTCAACCCAATTAGCTAAGTGGTCTTAGGTGACACTTACTGAGTGCTTACTATGTGCCAGATATGGTTCTAAGTGCTTACTTCATTTAACTCTCACAGCAGCAAATGAAGTAGACAGTATTATTCTCATTTTACAGAAGAAGAAACTGAGGCACCCAGTGTTTTAGGCATTTTATACAGGAATAAAAACCTAATTACTTCTAGAAATGGTCCACTTCATTGCTACTCTTAGAGTTTTTTTTTGTTTGTTTGTTTTGTTTTGTTTTTTTAACTGGTGGGAAAGCTCTGCATGTTTTAGGACAAAAATCCTCTTTTTACAATGCCCTGGTTTAAAAATGAGGAGAAAATACAACATAAACATAGAACTATAATTTTAACTGTTCTAAACTCACGTGAGTATAGTCAGCAGTTTTGCTACATTACTGGCACACATGAAGTTGCGGTCAACAGTAACAAAACAACCACCTGAATGCCAACAATGTTCACTCACAAGATTAGGTATGTCACATATGTCCTCTCACTTAATATTCACACCAACATTTTGAGGGAGTAACCATCTTCATTTCATAAATGAGAACACTGAGCCTCAGATAAATATCCTTTTTAGTATCATGAAGTTATACAAAGAGTGGAGATTTAAACTTAGATATGCCTAAACAAAATCTCCAATTATGTTTCACACGAACTACTCCTGAGCCAGTGTTTTCTGTTCTATATGTAAATAATCTTTATAATCTATACTCAGGGCTCAACAAGTATTGCTGATAAATCTTATTTCTTTGGTTTAAATTTACTGTTTCTACCTATAAATTTATCTTTTTGAGTTGTTACACTGCCACTGAATGTAATACCTCTCTCTTAAATTTTTAGTGACCATTCTGATAAGTGTATCTTCTCTTGCAAAAGTCCAGATAGGAAGCTACATTAACTATTTAAAATATTCAACAAAACATAATCCTATGCTACTCAAAACAATATATCCACTAACTGAGGCATACTACATCAAGGTAAATATTAGACCACACATTAATCCAGTACCACGGTTTAATTGAGAGGGTGGCCAAATGTTTTCTGTAAAGATCCAAGTAATAAATAGTTCAGGCTTTTTGAGCCAAAAATCTTTGTCACCAAATAGCTGTTACACTGCAGCACAAAAGCAGCTATAGACAACACATAACAAATAAACATGGTATTTCTGCAATAAAACTGTATTTACAAAATCAGGTGCTAGGCTGGATTTGGCCTACAAATAGTTTGCTGACTCTTGGTTTAACCAATGTTACCATCATTAAACTGAACTAGGTATTAAGGTCACTTCTATCCATCTGGTTCACAAAAATATTCTAAAATTAATGATCAAATACCTCATTAATTTCAGGGAACATTATGTCAACAGGCTGCCATAAGTCATCAATGGAGTTACAAGATTAAAAAAGTAAAATTGATTTTGCTACAACTTACTTTTAGTGAACTTCTGCTGACTTCAACTAATCATTTCTATTTTCTATATGCACATAAAGGCATCAGTTACATAGCAACTCATTCTAGAACTCTGACTAATTTGTGCTTCAAATCAACTGATATGTAAAATGTCTGACCTTCACCAACTGGGGATGCCTTTTAAATTCACCAATTATCTTGATATTCTTTTTATTATTACTTGGTTTGCCTTATTTACATAAAGGACCTTGGGCTTTAGTTTCTCTTTATTATTATAGCTTTCATACTCTGCAGAGAGAAAAATGATTCTTCTTAATGTAGCACTCAGAATCAAAGTTATTTAGCTCTACTTTCTGTTTTTTTCAACTATTATTTAAAATTATCCCTAAATTGAGGCTCTAATCCTTCCTAAACCAAACAGTGTCTTATTTCGTATTATGAAATCAGCCTAATTCAACACAGTACTTATTCATTTTTGATTGTGCCTGACTTCTTATACATATTTTTTGCTTCTTCTAATATATACACAAACAGAACTTCTCAACCAGTACTATGGTGCTCCATAACTATCTCTCCTTTTCCATCTTACTGAAAATATTGAAGACTTAAAAGTAATTGAAATTGTAGTAAAAAGGTTCATACTTAAAGCCTCCAACCCATAACTTTTGAAAAAAAAATCTTAAAGTCTAGATACAAACTTTTGCCCATAATTTCCTTCTTTATAATTATAACTTCCTAGAGCAAGCACTCTCCAGCATGTGTCACTTCTACATTACTAATTAGATCTTTTGAATTATATTCAGATTAGAAATTTCTCTTGTTGTGTCCTTTACTTTCTGAATGATAAAACAACCAGCAAAACAAGATATATATTATCCTATTTTTAGTAAAATCAGATTTTTAGCAGATATATGGGTAGCTGAAATACTTTATTACTGTTTGTTTGTGACAGTTTTACAATCTTTATTATGAAAACACAGCCCATGTTTTACTCAATAATACAACTGTATTGTAATACAGCTATGACACATTTAAACTTACCCTAAACAGTTTTGTCTTAAAATTCATGTGAACTACATTCTTTATAAAAACATATCAGCTTCTATTAGTAGCAAAACAAAAAATTTCTCCGAACTGTTCTTTTAAAAAAGCCTGAAGAACAATTTGATGATATTTGGTCTACACCTAAGAACATGTTATAAAATATGTATGTTAGAAAGAATATCATTTTTAAGATCACAACAAAGAATTTTTATGCCAATCATTCTAATTTTATTTCAAATATTTATAAATTTAGGGGGATTAAAGTCAGAAATATTCTTAAGATGTTATTTTAAAACATACTTTAACATAATTTTAATTTTTACTTAAAACATAACCCTAAATATTGACAAAGTGAGGCATAATAATGGGTAAATATCTTAAACTAATAAGGAAAAACTCAATTAGGTCTCCTGTGCCTAAATAGCTAATTCTTCAATAATAAAATAAAGCAAATAATAATATAAATAATACGTATTGTAGGATTTACTGGAGAACAATGTAGAATGCAGTGAAATTTTAAAAAGCATTTTTTTTTTAGTATTTTTAAAATTACATGGTACAATTAGTCTCTATCCTTAGATAAATCTGGGCATTTAATTTCCAGCAATTTTACATAAGCTAGTATAAGGTATGAAGGAGAAAAGCGATTACTTTTATAGATAGTGAAATTTTTACCACATTTGTAAAATAAACGGTTTAAAGGTTTTATCTTCAAAAAATATTTCTTCTCTACCATGATAATTTTCTAACATTCTAGCACTAAATATTAGTATCTTGGCTTTATAAAGAAATAGAATTGGGGCACAAGTATTTATACACATGTTATGAGATGAATCTAAGTAATGAGTACAGTGTTTTACACATAGAATGTTTTAATAAGCTCTTTTAAAAATTAACAACAAAAAACCCAATGATTTCACAAAGAACAAACATGCCAAGGCATAAATGACTTACTTAAAAAAGAAGAGCGAAGTTTTTTCATAGATTCAGAATATAAGCTAGAAAGGCCGCACATGCAAGAAGTCACAAACAGCACACCTTAGTGAAGCAATGAAAAGTGGAAGGGAAAAAAAAGGAGACAAAAATACTAGAATGGTATGATTGGGACAACAATCTCTGCTAAAGATATTACATGACAAAATGATCAACACTCAAACAAACATGGAAAAACAAAACTTTGAAAAGAAAAACTCAATTATCAAGCCAAAATAATAGAAAGGTCTATATCCCCTCATTTATCCCCCACAAATTGTAAAATTTACAGTATTAGTTAATAATGTACCAAACACAACTGAAAAATGAATTGCAGAATAGATTTTAATTCAGAGGGTATGAGTTAGGAAGTACAGACCAGTGCTTCCCCAACAGTATTTCAATGCACACTGGTATTCTGCAAATGAGTTAAGTATGCCCCAAATAGGGTTGCCGTCAATCTCTGGTCCGGCTGGGCAGATCCTGGGGAAACCGGATCCAGCAGGCCAGTTACTACGGGAAGCCTCATTAGTGTACCGTGTGTGCCATACATCAAATGCCATTTTTTGTGTGTGCCATGAAATTTAAAAAAAGGGCAAGAAGTAATGGTATATATAGCTAAGTATACATGTATACCTTGAGGTATTAGTGTTAGAACATTTAAAATTAAGCCTAATTACCTCGAAAACATAAAAGAACTCTATAAAGGGAATTCTCAATGAGTGTGGGCTTACATTTAATCAAAGCTATCTGAGAATGCTGTATTTTCACAGAACTAAAATTTACTTTTGCATCTTCCTTTTCTTTCCATGTGGGAATGATTCCTTTGAATGAAATGGTTGAAACAATAAATATTGGTCTTATGAAAAGGAGTAAAAACTTTGAAAGTAACTGTTTTTCTACAATAATGATGCAAATATTCCTGTCATTATATTTTAGCTGAAAAGTTTGATCCTGTGGTTCTTTCTCAATGTGGAATAAAATCCTAGAATATTAAAAAGAAAAGCAGGCCAGGCATGGTGTCTCACACGTATAATCCCAGCACTTTGGGAGGCTGAGGCAGGTGGATCACTTGAGCCTAGGAGCTTGACACCAGCCTGAGCAACATAACAAAACCCCATCTCTACAAAAAATACAAAAAATCAGCTGGACATGGTGGCATGTGCCTACAGTCTTAGCTAGTCAGGAGGCTGAGATGGGAGGATCACCTGAGCCCAGGAGGTCAAGGGTACAGTGAAGGCACTACTGCACTCTAGTCTGGGCAACAGAGTGAAACTGTCTCAAACAAAACAAACCCGAAACCACAACTACAGAAACCAAAAGTAAGACTCACACCTTTTGCTAGTTTTTGGTAGTTTACATATACAGAATAAATCAGGTAAGCTTTTACCTAACTGAAATACTTATATTCACAGAAGTAAGTCAGCATTTATAGAAATCCTAAAGCTCAGGATTTTCTTTCCTTTTCTTTTTACCTCCTGAAGGTTGTCGAGATTTACGAGGAGATCGGGGTTCTCTCCGATAAGGATCATTAGAGCCATACAATTCAATAGTGCCCAGGTTGAGCAGCACTGCTTTCTGGAGGTAGTCAACCATAGCAATGCCATTGCAATTGCCAAAAACCACCCTGGGAATAGGAAAATAAACATTTTAGCACAAACAAATAATTTCAAGAAAATGTACTGTAGTCTAAAAGGCTGAAGAATGCGCTATGGTCGGTCTTTCAGAAACTTCTTTGAAACAAAACACAGCTATAGGAGCTGATATATAGGCTACATATGCCTTCTCACAGAACTGTTTAGATCTTCTGCAGACATTAATTATTTAATATCACTAAATCAATCAACTGTATTATTTATAAAAAAAATATTTGACATAGGAGTTGAAACTTGATCAGAGAGATAAATCTCTCACACCTCACAATGCAACATCTATTTTTCTACCTTGGGGGCATTTTGAGATCTTCATGGGTAGGAGACATTCCCTTCCTCTAGGCAAATAGGAGATTATACATTGGGCCAAGTTTTGGTAATCATTCAAGTTAAGAATAAAAAGTAGAAAGCATACATCTTGAAGGCTCCCTTTGGGGTGTTCTAAGTACCTTCTCAATTATGAGTCAGGAACTATAAACCAATCAACTATGAAAAAAGGAAATTTATTCTTTTAAAATCTTTTAAGCCAGAAATGGAAAACTGACATATATAGGGGGCTATGTAAGTAAGTAAAAGAGGACACGTAAACACCATTGTGACTTAAGAGTATATGGCAGATCTAATAAGGAAAAGCTTCAACTCAGTTCCAGCTGAAGCTGCCATGCAGAAAAGTGGACATGGCTACATAATCAGATTTTTAAGTTGAAGCTTAAAGTATGGATTTATATAGTCTTGGTAACCAATAAAAATTCTAAAAATAGACAGAAAGGGCCAAACAAAATACAACTGTAAGCTCCGTGAGGCCTGCAATTGACTGATTTGCAATTTCCTTTGAAACTTCCTATTGGTTCTTTTTCTCATTTCCTATTTGTTTTCTTTATGGTTGTGGACAATAAAATATCTATATGTGCTCTTACATCATGTGGCAGCAAATAAAAGATATGAGAGAAAACTATCTCTGACTGTAGCCAGTGTTATTTTGATGTATAGTTGTCCCTTGTCTTTAGGAGTTTGGTTCCAGGACCCCCACAGATACTAAAATCTGTGGATGTACAAGTCCTCAATACAAAAGGGCATAAAATTTGCATGTAACCAACATACAGTCTCCCATACACTTTAAATTATCTTGAGATTATTAACATACATCTAATACAATGGAAATGCTATATAGATTTTATACTGTATTTTTTAACTTTATTTTTAAAAATTGTTGTATTGTTTCTTGTTACATTTTCTGAATATTTTGATCTGCTGTTGCTTCAACCCATGGATGGAATAGGTGGATACAGAGGGCTAACTATACAGCTGCAAGAGACAGAGTAGGTGGTGGGAGATACCAGCAAGAAAAAAAAAATGAATGAGTCCCTAGGGCCAGCATCAAGCAAGAAGACAATGAACTACACATGATAAATAGCTCCGGGACTGAACAGTTAGGAAGAAGTTTCTTACACTGCAGTGTTGATTTTTGATACAAGAAAATAATAAATGCTTTATAAGTCTATCACATTGTGATAAAAGTATATATAATTAACTATATGGCTGAAGGCATGAATTGACAAATAAAACAAATATACTGTAGTATAGATAAATACTAATTATTGTCATGCCTTTACAACTTATACAAGTTCATTGGAAGTAGAAAGAAAAATTACATAGCTACAGTTCAACATTTACAAAAATCAGTATATAACAAAGTCTTCTGGGTTCATGTTGTTAGATTTCTATTATAGTAACTATTAATAAGAAAGTTGTTTCTGGGAGTTTATATCTAGGAGGATATACTGACTTTAAAACTTCATCACAAATAATCTGTTGGTCCTTGAGGCATTTAACTTTACATCAGAAAATAGTGCATGCACACCCAAAGTAAGTTACTAGGAATGAAATTATGTTCCAAATAAACACTGAATTTGGTCTGAAATTAAAGTTATAGAATGCCATTTTAGGTAACAATATAACAAAGACCATCTTTTCTATTTTTAAAAACAAAATGAGGTATGGAATACTATGAAGAGACTTAGGAAAAAACATAAACTTATACTTACAATCCATAGGAAGAATTGACTGCCAGGCTGGTTATTTGTTGTGGTGGTTCTCCACCCACCCAAACCAACTGAATAACTAGTTCTGTCTGATAACCTGGAGACTGTTTAAGTGGTGAGTTTTTAACTCTAAAATAAAAGAAAACATGTTAGCTTTTAACCCATTGTCAACTATTGGCCTATATGATTATAAATAACTTTTTATATAAAACTATACTAGATATTTAAAGATATAGAAGTCAGAATCCTGTTATCTATAAGCATCTAATCTAGTTGGTGGGACTAAACAAGTATGTAATTAACAAAAATAAATCATATGCAAACTCTACATATAAAGTGGGGGAGGATAGCTGGGGTGAAGGAAAAGAGAAAATAAGAAGTAAGGAGGAAAAAGACAGAGAAAGAAAAGAAGGAAGGGAGGGCTGGGGAGAAAGATGAAGAGAAGTGGCAGCCCAAAAATTAAGAAGAGAAAAAAAAGTCAAGTTAAAAATGTAAGTTAGAAAAGCAGGTTTAAAACTTAAAAATGGCTGTGTCCGATGGTTCACGCCTGTAATCCCAGCACTTTGGGAGACTGAGACTGGTGGGTCACCTAAGGTCAGGGATTCAAGACCAGCCTGGCCAATATGGTGAAACCCTGTCTCTACTAAAAATACAAAAAACTTAGCCGGGCATGGTGGCAGGCACCTGTAATTCCAGCTACTTGGGAGGCTGAGGCAGGGAAATAGTTTGAAACCGGGAGGCAGAGATTGCAGTGAGCTGAGATCACACCACTGCACTCCAGCCTGGGTGACAAGAGTGTAACACCATCTCAAAAGAAAGAGAAGAAAAAAAAAACTTAAAAAAACATGATGTAACAAAATGAAAACTATCCAAAAACAAGTTAAAAAATGAGTTACAACAAATATGAGCAATTTATTTTTGCGTGTACCTACTTTTACTACAAATCTGCCTTGACTTTGAGGTGACAGTATTTTTGACTGAAGAGATTCTTTTTTAATAACTGCTGAAAATGCTACAAAAAATGCTCTTGCAGAACATATGCAGACAAAAAACCCATGTTCAAGCAGTGGTAGGGGTGTGTAGTAAAAGTGAGAAGATAGCAAGACAGGCCAGGGCCAGGTTTGAGAGGGTAATCTAGTCCTGTCCAAAAGTTTGATGATGATACGAAGAATTCTCAGCAAGCTGGACCTTGAGTCTTGACTCTTACTCATCAGCTGTCTTCTAACCTAAAAAGTGGGACTATTACTACCTAGTCACAATATGCAGACACTGAATGCCTGTGAAAAGTGCTTTGTAGATGGTCAAATCAGACAAAAATATATTTTCATTATTAAAGATTTAAAAGCCAGCCCGAGTGCAGTGGCTCATGCCTGTCATCAGAGTACTTTGGGAGGCCAAGGCAGGCAGATCACTTGAGGTCAAGAGTTTGAGACCAGCCTGGACAACATGGCGAAATTCTATCTCTACGAAAGATATGAAAATTAGCCAGGTATGGTGGCATGCACCTGTAGTCCCAGCTACTCAAGAGGCTGAGGCAGGAGAATCACTTGAACCTGCTAGGCAGAGGTTGCAGTGAGCCAAGACTGTGGCACTGCACTCCAGTCTGACTGACAGAGTGAGACTCCATCTCCAACAACAACAAGAAGCACTAATTATAAGCCAATGAAGGTTGATAAGAAATATTTGGGGAAGATTAACTTGGTGAACACAGGTAAGAAGAAGTAGAATAGGGAAACCAATTGGGAAGCTCCTGTGATTCTGACGTGAAATAAGAAAAAGGTAGATTGAAACACATAAATGGAGTAAGATTAGACAAGGCTTTACATTTCAGGAAGGCTGAAACCTTGCAGCCATTAATCCTTTAACACTGGTATAAAGGAGGTACTCAATGAGCTGGAGGTTAATCAGAGGTAGGGTAGAGGAAGAAAAGAAGACAGTGAATCTACAACCTGATAAAAGGAAGGGAGGGAGGGAGGGATAAAGAGGTAGTTTTAGGGGACTATGGGGTTAAGTTTGAGATGATGGTAGAAAACTACAAGTGAAACTAATCAGCTAGTAGTCAAATCTATTCCCAAATCTCATGAACAGTTAAGTCCATGCTGAACTTAACACTGATTAAACTTACATTGATTAAACATATGCAAAGCCTTGTTATTTCAACAGTTCTTAAGGCTTCTGCCTTGAAATGACAGTGTATGAATGAACAGCAGGAAGCCTACTCAATATTGAATTACCTGCCACCAAACTCAGAGGAAAGAACCCTTCTGAATCATTCAGTGGGTATTTCTAGTGGGAAAGACCATGGCACCTGATGTTTTGATGACACATATGCTAGGAAACAGCAGGTTGTTCAGACTTCAGGGTAAATGTGAATAACCAGGGCTTACAAGAGTTGAGCTATAGTGCACTTCTGGCTGGGCAAGGTTTGCAAAGCAATACATTCAGAACTGTATACTGGCTGAGGCAAAATTTCTGAATTATTCTCAGGAAAATACCCACTAATCAGCTATAACTCTCCATCTCAGGCAGTAAAATAACAACTGAGGCATTTCATTTCTTCCCAGAGTCTGCCGTGACACAGGAGCAGACTGAAGGGTCTGAGTGGTCTATCTTCTCTTTGCATGAATTAGGTATAGAAGGTAAGGGTCAAGGAAGTGTCCTCTCCCTCTGGCATATTAAATGTGCACAACAGATTCTCAAGAGCAGGACCAGGCATTCCAGGGATAATTTTAGAAGTGCATACACGGGCACATTTAAGATTTAAGTGACCAGGATACATAGAGCTCATAGAATCCTTAGTACAAGGAAACAAAACAAAACAAAAATGTTCTTAAGTAAAAATAAAAAGGCAGCCAAACATGACACAAAATGGTAAAGGATGAGAAATCTACGCAAGAAATGAAAGCAAGTTATATTTTAAAAATATGAAATGGGAAGAGGGTGCTGTATTTTATTCTAATGGTTTTAAGTTACCATTATAATGTTTTAAATATGTTCAAGTTAATTTGTTTACTTTTTAAGGAAAAAGTTTTGGATCTTTATAAAAAGCCCCATAATTTGTACAAATGTATTTTAAATGTTAAAGTGATGTTTAGAGCCTCACAGTTTCAAAACAATTGTTTGAGCAAGTACCTTGCAAAGGGACAATAAAAATACTTCAAAAACATAAAATTTAATGGGTAAAAGAAGTTAAGTCAAATAGCTGCCTTTTCTTTTTATGAGACAGAATCTCACTCTGTCACCCAGGCTGAAGTGCAGTGGCATCATTACAGCTCATTGTGGTCTTGAACTCCTGAGCTCAGGCAACCCTCTCACCCCAGCCTGCAGGTGAAGTCGCCATGCCTGGCTAATTTTTTAAAAACCTGATTGTAGAGATAGTATCTTACTATGTTACCCAGACTGGTCTTGAACTTCTGGTCTCAATCAATCCCCCTCCTTGGTCTTAAACAGCTGCTTTTAAAATGTTTCTTCAAACAAACCAATAGTGTACAAAGGCATTTTGTATGAAAAAAGCCAAAATATTAATTATATTTTAACATCAATTTTTATATATTTCTTACTTTAAGAAACTGGCCTTTAGGACTGTGGACTAAAACAATGTGAAGTTAATAAATAACTGCATTTATCTGAAGACTATTAAATGGAAAAAATGAGGTATAACTTGCTTGTGATTTAAAAAAAAAATCACTAATGAATATAAACATTTTAGACGAAAATGCCCAAAACTTGTATTTTACATATTTCACTAGTTTATACAATATTCTACTAAAAGACAAGTTATCCCTCTCATGACTCTGTCTCCAAAAATTGGTCATTTAGTAAGGCAATACTAAAGAATTATTATTATTGACAAATTAATTTTAAGATAACAGCTGAAGAAAATGAAATAGTTATCATGCAATCTCTATGTTTACAATCTTCCCATATATTCTTGTTCTTGAGTTTTCTCCAAAATCCAGAAAAAGGATCAACATAACCATAACTGTATCAATAGAGTCATTACTTTATATTTCTTACTATGATTTATGTTTCTATTTTTAAAAATCATTATTTAAAATTTTAAGTAATTTAAATGTATAATTTGATATAACAATATATAGCATTATCTATTAAAGTTAGTAAGAATTTCTAATCATGTGACTAGCCAAAAAACCCCCTAATAACAAAAATCAGGCACATGCACGCGCGCGCACACACACACACACACACACACACACACACACTCAAATTAGCATGATTGCTTCCCTACATCTGGTGTATCTTCTTGAGTGTCAGCAGAACTCCTGAGCTTCTCTCTATCCTCTTTCTAACTCAGTCCCAAGAATGGGAGAGTCCCTAGGTAGCTGGTAAATATGGAAATAATTAATGAAGCCCTCTTATTTCCCTATCACTCTGTGTTCCTTTGGAAGCAAGTCTGCTCAGAGAGTGCATTTTTTTCCTGCTCCTGCAAAGGCAGTGTTCTTAATATTGCCATGACTGGGAGGATAAGACTGCCTCTGTATGCAGGTCAGTTTGAATCAGGAAACCTACCTGGCTCTTGTGCTAGTTGGCATCTTTTACCTTCATCAATAATTAAGGTGGTATTTTTAGTCACTATTTGAAATTATTTCTTAATGTGTTAAGAATACAGATGGGGGCCAGGTGCAGCGGCTAACATCTGTAATCCCAGTGCTTTAGGAGGCTGAGGTAGGCAGACTGCTTTAGCCCCCAGGTCTGAGACCACCCTGGGTAACAGGCTGAAACTCCATCTCTATAAAAAATACAAAATTAGCTGGGCGTGGTGGTGTGTGCTTGTAGTCCCAGCTACTTGGGAGGACTGATTGAGCCCAGGAGGTGGAGGCTGCAGTGAACTGTGATCACACCACTGTACTCCAGCCTGAGCAACAGAATGAGACTCTATCTCTTAAAAAAAAATCCAGGTAGGTAAAGACAAGCATAATTTCTGGGCTCCTTCGTGGACCCTAGTAAGCAATTGCAGGTGACAAGACTGACTGAATCTCTTATGAGTGTCTTTAAAGTTTGAACTGCTTCAGAGTTCCATCCATTTCATAAAACATATTGATAGGGCAGTTTACCTCTGACACAAAAAGCCACTTCCAAAAAGAACTGTCCCTTAAAACATTAACAGTCTCAAAATAGAATGAATTTATACAGTTTTATTATACACGAGGTCAGTGTACAAAAAACCAAAACGGAAGAAAAATTATTAAAGTAACTCAATGTAATTACCTTACATATCAAATGTGATATGCTCAAAGGTCTAAAGGACAGCGTCTATGTTATATTTTACTATTCATCTAGTGTTTTACTATTAGTGGTCATTTTAATACTGCAATTTTGGACTTACTTTTGTTAACGGATAAACAATATGAAACAGAATAATTCCAGGCTAATCAAATTACAGGAGAAGAGTGGCTTGGGTAAGAGATTTAAAATTATTTACATTATATAGTAATATGAAAAGTATAAGGATTTTAATGACTGTTTTTAAAAACAACCCCTTTTTTTAAGCTCTCATCACTAGGTGGTCTACTATAACAATATAGTGCTTATTAAACATAATGTTACAAACAGATCATATTTTGGTCTGTTATCCTGTGAGGGCTGGAAGTATTCAAAGCAAGTCTAGAACATCCTGACAGAAATCAAGGATGGTCACAGAAGTTCTAGGTGGTGTTAAGAAGACACAAATATCAACTTAGAAGAAACTCTTTCTAGAAAACTGTGACAAAATCACGTTAAGTTGATCAGATTCAATGAATTAAAACAAATTGCCTATAAAAAATTACCTAGAGTTCCACAATGATATTCAAAAGGAAAAATAATCAGCAAATCATAGTCATTGTTTTTTTTTGAGATTCAGAAAAAAACTGTTAAGAGTTATTGTGTGTATATCCCCACGACTGGCAAAGTGTATCCATACATAAAAGATTAATGCCAACAACAAAAAGTACTCTCCTCACATAAATCATTAATGGATGGGCTAATGAGACCCTCTGGCTTTTGGGACTCTCCTTAAACCACCAGCTTAAAAGGAATTCCTGTATTATGCAACATTCTATTAAATAATTACAAAAGATTAATAGTGTGCCATGACATTCCATCACAAGTATAAAAAGTCCTCCTAAACAAGAAAGATGGCCATACCATAATCTCAGGTCCCTGAACAATAAAGAAAACTCATAAGTGCAAAACTAAGTCAGTATTACCTTTAAAACGGATTTGGGTACTGTTGAACTTTGCATTTTGATTTGTTGGTTTTAGCAGTTGCTCTTGGTTGCTGCCTTGACTATTATCCTTGCTCTTTCAGTCAGTAAAAAAAAAAACTGGAAAAAAGGCCTTTCTAAGAACAGAGGACAAAGACTCACCTATTAGGCCTGCCTTTAACTTTAACCTAGAAAGCCAAGGTAAGAGGTCTTGTCACTCTGGTCCAAACAGTATTGCTTCTCCTGTTAGTACTATTTCCTCTGACCTATCTTGTCATGAAAAGCAGTGCATTGGTGGTGTTTCCTCTTCAGGTAGGAAAAGAATTTAATGTTTTATACTGCTGGATCTCTGGCCACAAGCCTAAGAACACTTGGAGGCATAAGAAAGTGTAAAGTACAAATTAAATAAATTATTCTAATTCTGTTGAAGATAATGTATATTTATATGGAATTATTATTTTGTTAAAATGTCACTTCAGTAGCTGAAACCACCACTTCAGAAATATGTTATAAAAAATGTCTCAAAGACAAATTGTACCATATAGGTTATAAAGATTAAATTTAACAAAGGGCTTGGAAAAAAAACACATTAAAATCAGAAACAAGGGTATTGAACATTTACAATTTTAAGTGTAAAGCAGTATTGAAGAAGTAATAAAGGAGAAAAGTGTAGAATTCTGTATTCCCAAGTCTCATTCTAGTTAAACATGTGTTAGAAATACAGTTATAAGTGAGTATATTTTAGTACATGCAAGAGAGAAAGAGAAAGAAAGAGAGAGAGAGAGAGAGGAGAGAAAGAAAAACTTGATACCTTTCTGAGAAATGTAGCTGCTTAACCTTAATGTGTATATACTGTTCAGATCAGAGGTTCTCATCCTTGGCACTATTAATGTTTTGAGCTGGGTAATTCTGTCTTGTCCATGGTAGGATATTTAACAACATCCCTCACCTCTACCCACTAAATGTCAATAGCATCTCCCTTCCTCCTGTTGTGTCTACTAAAAATGTCTCCAAACGTCCCCTAGGTACCAAAATCATAAGCAAATGAGAGCCACTGGCTTACAATACACAACCCTAAATTTCTGTAAACATATAAATAATTTTCTAAAAATCCATACTTTTAAAATGACTGTAATATATAAAATCTATCCATTTTATCTTTGGCATGAGTGCATTATTTGTGACACAAACATTCTTCCCAGAAATTGTTTAACTATCTACCAGTAGAAGAGACTTAAGCATATTAAAGTAAAATAGTGCAAAGCCTAGTCCTTTTAACAAATGCAAATTATTTCTCTTACCACCGTCCCTACCTTGAACCTAGTACACTCCGGCTTTTGCCCTCTACCAATCTACTGAATCTCTCTGAGTGCTACCAGAACTACTTTTCAGTCACCATCCTTCTTTGTAAATACACTACTAATCATATAGTCTTCATATAATTTTTCAATGATTTTAACTTATTGTTTTATTTCTCTGCCCATATCATTTAAACATTTTAACCACTCAATAATAAAAATTGGACAGAAAAAAATAAAACTTTAATTTATCTCTATATAAAAGCAAGATGTATTTAAATGTAGGATGCAACAAGGAAAGGTTTTAAATAAAGATATGGTGGTGCTAGTAAAGATTCAGAAAAAGGTATGAAAACGATTAGAAAACAACTGAGTCTTGAAAGGCTGAAAAAAATCCAGAATTTTCAGAGTGGTAGAAAGCAGCCTGAACATAAATACAAGCTACATGTAAATCAAGATTAAAAACTGATGGATTTAGAAGACAGTGTGACACATAGAGGTGAGATCCTTGCTGCTTTGTGAGAACAGAGATTATTACACCTTAATATTTTTTAAGGATAAAATCATGAAATGCAATCATATTCCTCTTGATGTCACAGAAAAATACAGGAAGAACCATTCTTAAACCATTTTGCTCCGTCAGAAGAAAATGTTACCGTAGCTCTATTAATGCTTACAATTTATATAAATTAAAAGATAATATCCCAAACTTCTCTGTGTTTTTTATAACTTACTTTAAACAAGGTACATTATCACGAAGCCCATCAGATGAACTGCTACTGGTAGACGGATGAGACTGAGGAGGAATGGGCTGTGGGTTGGACCCTCCCCCGGGTGTTGGCAAAGGTGGTGCCTGCTCACCCTCTGGAGTCTCCACATCATTTATTTCATATAGTAATCGAACTTCCAGCATCTGTTGTAAAAGTAAGGTAGTTTTCTTATTCTTAATAATTACGGAACATTTTATTACAATTTATACACACATATACAAACACTCACAGAAACTTCAGTGGTGAGAAGATTTTTAAAAGTAAAAATTTAGCAAGATTTCAAAAAGTAAGGATTTAGCAAGAAAATATTCTTGACTCAGGGAATACATCCACAAATGTGCATTATGATTTTAGAACTTGTACTCGTGTTACTGTCAAATTAGAGTGCACTCACATTCATATTAGCTTTCCTTAAAGGAAATATACACTATACTTAAGGATTTAAATAATCAGTGAAAATATGCAAAAAATGCTATTTTTAAGAAAAGAGAGATGATAATGTAAATACTAAGGTATTTTCAAAAATTCTGTACAAAACTGACTGCAAAAGCTCTTCTAAATCACCCACAAATTTAAAAATGTCAGACACTTGACCATGAAAATAAGATGTTACTACCGGAATGACTTCTGTGATTACTTCCTGCTTGCTGAATCTATAAATAATGACATGAGCTGAAACTCCAGCTATGCACAGCATTCTACTTTCCGGACACCAGGAGATGATCTGAATGGCATATGGATCTTCATCTACAATGTCTGTGTTTGGCCTTTCATCTTTGTTTCTTGACTTTTCAAATACTTTAGATGTCTTTAGTTTATATAATACTTGTAGGGTTACTGGAAAAAAGATAATATATGTTAGACATTTTAATACAAAAAGATCAAAATATAAGGTAACGTTTAATCACTCATATTACATATGGAAAATGGTCCATATTTATACCATATTTTCATTTCTCAATCTACATTAGTCTATTATACATTTAGATAATATATTCTTTGTACTCATTGACCAAACAAGGGTGTGCTCATTGTATTCATGAAGAAGATCCATTATCACAATGAATTTTGGATAACCTTAAAAAAAAGAGTAATACAAACATTTTGGAAAAACGATGTATAAATACATGAAAATAATAAACAACACAGTTTGCTTCCTAAAATGATTTTCTACCCATGTTCTCTAGAAAAGATATACCAATATAATTGAACATCCCTACATGAGGAAACACAACAGATCCTGAGTTAACTGGATTCCCACTGAAAGCCTGCCATGTGTATTTTGCAAACATTAATCATTAAAGGCATTATTTCCTTTTTTGCTACTATGTAACCACCAGGTTTATTTCACAAAGACAACATGAACCTTGGTGATACAAGTTTAGACTCAGGCATTAAAATTATTCTACAAATTTTTGTTGATTTGGAATGTATTCCCACTTCTCCTAACTCTTGACTTAGGAAGAGAAGGTTTAAAGAAATTTTGAAAAAAAAATTTGAATATTCGTGTTGCCAATTATTCTTTTTNGGTCAAAGTCTCACTTTGTCACCCAGGCTGGAGTTCAGTGGCACAACTTTGGCTCCGCCCAGGTTCAAGCAATTCTTCTGCCTCAGCCTCCCGAGTAGCTGGGATTACAGACATGCACCAGCAAGCCTGGCTAATTTTTGTATTTTTAGTAGAGATGGGGTTTCACTGGTTCAAGGCCAGGCAGGTCTTGAACTCCTGACCTTATGATCCACCCACCTTGGCCTCCCAAAGTGCTGGGATTACAGGCATGAGCCACTGCGCCTGGCCCACCAATTATTCTTGATTTACTAATATTAAGACTATCTTTATTAAAAATTCTAAACTAATGTATTTAATAAATAAAGCATTAAATTTATAACCTCTAAATTTCAAATTAAATACTGGTAAAGCAATTATAAACAGCATATATAAAAGGAGTGATTGTGTAACACATAACAGATAATGAATATTAAAAATACTTACTTGCAGAAGCATCCCAGAACTTAAGTGACCCATCAGCATGCCTATGAAAAGCAAGGTTGAGAGTGTGATGAATCAAATTACAGTTTTTCCTTCTTTAAATGGATACTGCTATTAAAAAGTCACCAAAATGAGGAAAAAGGTAAAAAAAAAATCAGAGTAAACTGGCAGGTTCTTAAGAATAACTTATTTCTTATTATATTATAACATAAGGGAAAGCGCTGTCTGCCTAATAAGTTAAAATTCATATAGTCTTAATTAATTATATTTAGCTATTACAGGTTTACTTGGTGAAGACAAGCTTTTACTTACCCTGTAATAATTATTTCTGGGTAACTTTGAGCACCCAAGCCCCAATTACCTCCATTGATGGGCCATTCCTATTAAAAAAAAAAAAAGATCATTGCATAAAGCAACTTGCAAGTCTACTATGTACCTTCATATGTGTGTGTATATAAATAAGCCAGTGAAAAACATATTTTTCTTGCAAAAATAATTTTTAATATATTTTCTATAGAAATGGTATCAATGTTATCAAATACTCCAAGGTGATATAGAATAAATTAAAAAATATAACATTAAATATTGAAACTCATGTTCAATACCTTTTTGCTGTAACCTTGACGTTTCTGTCTAGCTCCAACAGAATAAAGTGCAGGAATAAGGTCCACAGGACAATCAGCAAAATATTCACAACATGTAACAGGGGACTCATGTATACTCAAAGGGTAGGGATTTTCAAATATAGGATATCTTTAACAACAGGAAGAAGAAAAGTATTTATTAATTTAATGAATTATTCCATACGATTAATACAAAAATAAAAGCTTTAAAAAACTTACATTTTATCATAGAGACTAAATTGATTAAATTTTGTAAATATATTTAACAATTGAAGTCTTTTATAATAAAAGATGCTCAATTAGAATACTAAACACAAAGGCTCTAGTTTCAACTCCATGCCATATGCCATACACTACACTAAGTGCTTTAAGTATATATATCTCATTTACTTCTTGCACCTGATTTAGTATGTAGGCATTTCACTGAAGAACAAAAGTTTACAGAGAACAACGTGTCAAAGGCATGCCTGCTGGCAAATGGAATAACAGATACCTCATCCTTACATCAGCAGAGCTAATAAACTTTCAATTCTTTTTCTCTCCATAAATATGATACCTAGTCCAATATTTAATTCAGAATATTCTCTTGTTTTGGTAATAATCTATAATAAAATTATACCTTAAATGTTTTCTACATATGAAGTTATTTTATCAAATAAAGCAAAAAATGCTTTTAAAAATCATGAAATTAAAGTAGAATCCTATTTAAATACAGAATGATATTTCTTTTTTCGTTTAAAGTCCTTAGAATGAAAATAGTCTAGAAAACCAGAAACTGACTAAAAAATTTAAATAGTGCAAAGTGGCTAATTTGCAAAAATTAGTCTACTACTCACAATTTTTTAAAACCGAGGAGAGAATTTGCCAAAAAGTCCTTTATAAACTGCAAAATGAACCCAACTATCACCACTCCCACCTCCAGGACAAAACACAAACAACATGCATTAATAAAATAACAAAATGGCAAGCAACATTCTTCTCTTTATAACATAGATTATTTTCTTAGCTCAGTGAGTCTATTATTACCATACATTTAACTGATATTTTTGCTAAATAAAATGCCTAGTCACAGATTACTTGCATAGTATTTTCTTTGACTTAAATGTATCTCAGTACAGACCACATGTGAAAAGTCTCAATTATTTGAAAAACTTGCCTAAGGGGAAAAAAAATAAAAGAAAATCATATTAAGAATAAGTTATTCTAGGACTATTATATAGAAATAATATTTTCAAGTGATCTTGTTATTTTAAAAAGAAAAAAAAAACCCTCACAATTGATTAGTACAAGTAACAAGTGCTAAGCTGAAGTAAATGCAGGATTTGCTAAACATCAGGTACATAATACTGTTCATCTACTTCAGGGTCTCCCAACCTCAGTACTATTCACATTTTGGAGCAGATAATGTTTTACTGTGAAGCACTGTCCCGTGCACTGTGGATGTTTTACATCATCATCTGTCTTCTACCCACTAGATGCCAGTAGCAACACCCTCAAACACACTTAAAAGGTTTCCTCGGACATCACCATACATTCCCTGGGCAGGAGGAGGGCAGAGGTGGAGGTGGGGGATGTAAAAATCACCCTCGATTGAGAAACACTGAAATACTAAATGGGTAAACTCAATTAAAAAACATACTTAATGATTATTTCTCCAAAGATAAAAATAAGTAATGCAATGTGATTCCATTCAAATAATTTGTAAGTAAACATTATCATCTACGATCCAAAAAGCAGAATATGGCAAATACCATAAAAAGTTACAAAGAAGCTGTAGTGGCAAGTTACAGATCAGATATAATATATCCGGTAAACAAAAGATAGGAAAAGCCTTAAAAAAGATAAGAAGGTTGATTTTGAAAGTTATATAGATTTTTAACAGCTGTGAAACAACTAGAGTGTTTCAGGTATTGGGAATTACATAAGAGAAGAAATGGAAGTAAAATGTCTGTTGAACACACAGTTCTGTCTTCCTAGGGAATAAGACACTTGTGAGAAGGCAGTGAGAGACCAGGTTGTAAAGAAACCCTGAATTCCTACTGTTTGGAGTAGCAGGTGTTTCTAAATCAAAAAACAATATTGAACCACAGTATAAAGAGGACAGTACAAGACTGGAGCTGTGTGTAAAATGAGTCTGGCAATGGAATGCATAAACGTTGCAACAGAGAGTGAGTGGAGGCAGAAAGACTAAAATAGCTTATTTTGGAGGTAAATAGCGATGGGATTAATTTTTGTCCTGCTGATTTTGTGTGGCCCCAGGATATCTTAGTGTCAGCCTAAATCACATGAAATTTCAGAAATACAACAAATTTTTACCTAAAAATGAAAATGTTATAAGATTCAACATAACGGAGAAATTTGACAAGTAAGTAGATATGTGAGTCTGGAGCTCTCAAAAGAGGTCAAGGTTATAAATATAAATGTAGAGTTTTCATAGAAATGAAAGCGCTAATGCTATGATAAAAGGGATCTTTAATCAACCACATACTCATTGAATCACCAAATTTTATTTCTTACCCATTTTGTGCAAGGTCTATAAGTACTAAATCCTTTTCTAGAAGAACAACCACAGCATATGGTTCTTGAAAATCTGGAATTTGACAACAATGCATGAATTATAGCTCTAAAGTTGCAAATGCAAATGAGCAGCAAATAGATAAATGTTTTTTGCTTGATTTTATTTCATTCTCTTGCGTATTTAACATTCTGATCCTATGATACTTCATGCATGTTATTTAAGGCCAGTAAGTTATATGAAATAAATCTATTTAATAATCCTTTCAAAATTATTTTACTTTCATAAAAATGAGTAAGACAGAAATTTCTATGGTATTGCTAATTTCAAAGCTGGACATAAACAACAAAACTAAAATTTAAATCTGACTAATACACATAACAACAATTATCATTATTTAATCTCATAGGAACCAAAAAGAGTTCCAGTTCTACTATAACAATAATTTCTTGGATGTTTCATATGTGCCTGTGAACTATAAAATATGCTACATCATTACACCTCAATGAATTTCAACTAAAGTAAAAAAAAAAGTCCAGATTTAAATTCTTCTTGAATTAAATATGCTAGCTGTGATGGTTAATTTTACGTGTCAACTTGTCTATGATATGGGTTTCCCCAGCTGTTTGGTCAAATACCAGTCTAGACATTTGCTGTGAAAATAAAAACATATATATATATATATATATATATATATATATATATGTATGTATATAAGTATTAGATGTGACTAACATTTAAATCAGTAGATTCTGAGTCAATCAGATTACCCTCTGAATGAATGGGCCTCATCCAATCAGATTAAGGTCTTAAAAACACAAACTGAGGTTTCCTAAAAAAAGACAATTTTGCCTCAAGATTGCAACACAGAAACCATGTCTGAAATTTCAATTTATAGATTTCAGACTCAAGACTGCAACACATATGCTTTCCTGAATTTCCATCCTGCTGTCCTGCTCTATAGGTTTCAGACTTCCAGTCCCACAGTAGTGTGAGCCAATTCCTTAAAATCAATCAACCAATCAGTTTCTCTCTTCTGTAAGGTCTGCTTCTATGGAGAACACTCACTAACACATCACTATCTTAACAGAATTTTAAAATGTGTCTTAATTTTGATAATTTTTTTATTTTTCAAAAGTACTACTAATACACAATAATACTAAACAGATTAAGTTTATTAAACAACTTCTGAAACAAAATTTGCTAGGTTATGAATTCAGCATCTCTTCTACAGAAGAGTTCGCATAACAGGATAAGTAGTTTTACTTAAACAACATAGGTCTTTTTTTTTTTTTTTTTTTAAACTATCAGCTACCTATAGAGAACGAGCTCTAAGGTTACAAAGCTTACCATTTGGGTATGGTGTTTCACATAGTGTTAGAAAGTCAACAATTGAATAGTCCATTTCTAGCACAGCAGTGCTTTTCCCATGCATCACTGTTAAGCAAGGTCTTCTTCCTACAGTATCATATGACAAACCTCCTGATAAAATAATAAAAGGCTCCCTGGAAATAAAATACACGTTAAGATTATTAATGGCACAGTAAATTTTTTTGCTACATCGTAATTTTTTAATCTAGTGAAATAGCATAATCTTAAATTCTAACATTTTTACACATCATAAAATTTAATTCTCATGTGGAATTTTTAATTGGATTAGGTAAGACCCAAGTGAATTACTGAAAATTCATCTACAATAAAAATAAACACTGACTACATTTGACTTTCACACAATCCTTTTATCCCTAAAACTTTTATCTCCTAAATAAAATTTTCATAAAATTCTCTCTGGGTTTCTGCTGAATAAAGTCTCTTGAATGCATTGCCTGGACTTCCAATCCTAACCAGGCCTTCTCAACAGAAGTTCCCACAGAGAATCTTAATGCCTTGAGGGGTCCATTGCATATAATGGATTAAATTCTCAAGGATGCATCAAGAATTGTACTCAATACAAATCACTGAGGAAAGAACTGTAAGAGACACTCAAATCATTTCCTGTATACCTTAATTTCTTCTAGAACCTTGGCTGACACACTTTCAAACCATAGCTCCCATACATACATTTATCAGTTGATAAATGTATAATTTATATTTATAATTTATAATTTAGCCTGATAATTCTAATTAACCTTATAATTCTGTTATATCTAATTTTCCCACTCTCCCTATTAGTCATTATTAAATCTAAATTATTTAACTAGACCCATTTTTTAAACTATTAATATATGCTTATTTTTTTCATATATTATAGTCTGGGTATATTCCCATGCATTTGACTTTTCTTTCCATTTACTGGTAGTGAAGCTATTTATGATACATTATACAGATGATTTAAATTTTCTGTATATTATTTCTAAAATATCTCCATTTATGATTTCTTAGTTTTTAAATGCTTAATCTAAGGCCAGTGTATCTATCTTCCTCCTCACTCATTATTCATAATGTTACTTCCTTCTTTTCCATTTATTGAATTTTTAGTCTTCACGTCTTCTACAAGCCATATGTAATAATATCCAATGGTTAAAAGTGCTAGTTCTGGAACTAAACCACCTGCATTTAAATCTTAGCTCTGGCTTAACTTCTGTATAATCTTCGGCAAGCTGCTTCCCTCTATGTTCCTAGCCTCTACGTGTATAAAACGGATATACAGTGATAAGTATCTAATCTCAGGTAATTCTTAAACTGGACAGTACCTGGCTCATAGTAAGAGTTTCCTATTATTATTATATCATCAAATTGTCATTTTCATCCATTATGAAAATTTCTCTTCAGGGTGTGTGAGAAACAAAACCCATTAAAACCACTAAATTATATTTATTTTTATCTAAAACAAGAGTACATCAACTTCACATAAATTTAATTGGACTGGTAATCATATGGATATGTAGTTCATAAGTAAATATAAATATCAATGCAATACATGTATGTACTTGTGTACATAATACTTTTCTAAAACTATACCCTTATGTATCCTACCTTGCTTTATTTTTTCCATAGCAGTTATCACTACACAGATTTATTTTGCTTACTGTTTTTCCCATCAAAATGTATGCTTTATGAGGGCAGTGGTTTTGTGTGTTTTGTTCATTGCTGTATCCACAACAGTGCCTGGAACAGTACCAGCCACATAGTGGGTAGGAATTAATATTTTTTTAAAGTAATGAATGAATAGAAATGTGTATTGCACTAATCATTCACTACTATCATTTATTTATTTATTTTTTTTTACCACTGATTGATTTGGGTAATGTTTTTCTACCTAAATTGCAGTTAGGGAGCTTAAAATGTTATCCTAAGTAGAACCATAGCCATATATTCAGTGTTTCAACCTCTCAGCATACTGTGATTATGATGACTGTGCTCAGGAAAGTATATTTAATTTTCTTCCACTTTTTATCACATACAATGAATTAGTAGAATAATATATCTCCTATCTTTTATATTTTGAGATATAATATGCAACTGAATTAAAATAATCCAAGGACAGGGATGAAGGGACCCATGGGTAACTAATACTTGTTAAATTTATAGATTGGGAGAATTCAGCCAGGTATTCTGTATGTACTATTTCTAGAACAGCTGATAAGTATTCTTTTAAATATAACCTATTTTTTTTTTAAAAAAAACATATTAACATCAAAAACAATGAAGATGATGGCTGCACGTTACAGAATAAAATGTCTGAAAAGCGCCCAAGGAGATCAAACTGGGTAGGTGACCAGTTTATACAATCTTGACACTATGGTAGCTACTTAGGTTTATACTCAGAAAGCAAGTAGTAAGCTGCCTGTACTATTTTCTAAACTTAAGAGAAAAAAATATATATACATATATATATTTACAAAAGAGAATGAGTCCGAAAGAAATGCCAACTGACCTGTCATCAAGGTAATTTTTTCCATAATAATAAATATTTGGCAAATCTACTTTACTTGTTCTATTTTATGTGCTGTCTCTTTAAAACTATCTGACTGCCAGATAAGAACCATCCAACCTGTGAACCTTCATAGATTATCTCTTTTTTCCTTATAATGTCCCCAGCTTGAAGCATAAATATTAGTGATTGTTTTAAAAAAACCAGTCATAAATACAATGATAAAATAAAGTTCAATATTTTAGCACTACACAGCAAAAATTATGAATTTTCAGGTTTGGAGGCATTTGAAATTTTATTAAAAGTTCTAGGGATCTAAATTTTTTCTAGGTAACATGAATTACAGAGGTGAAGAATATTTTCCTTTTAAAAAAATAAAAAGGTAAGCTGTTTGATGTTATAAGAAAGTCTAGAGATAATAGTTTTTATTCTATTACTTTAAGTAGAATTTTAGTAGTATCCCTTTTAATTATATTGAGTGTTAACCCAGACCCTTCTCATTTTGGCAGACAGCCAGGTTAGAAAGTTGTCAGTCTGGAAGCCTTATCGTTTGATTAGATTTTTTTAACAAACTAGACACTTGATGGAGTACATATGCTTTCTGCCAATGATCACCTTCCCAGGCCTGCCTTAACAACAGGTTCAGCTGAAGCTGTGTTTCTGTATGATGTCTTCTTCATTTCAAAGTGCCACTTCTATCCAAAAAGCCACTTGTATAACTAATTTGCTAAACTCAGCTCCATAATACTACCTATTCCTTTGCTGAAATATTTTTAGCACCTGTGTTCCAGGGAATAAAACAGTGCTCCTATGTCTAGTCTAGGCAGACAACACACTATGATAGGTATTAATACTATGAAGATTAACACAAGGCTAAGTGGTAGGCTGACTATGAGGGCAGGGCCACAGGAGCAACATGAGATCGCATGGTGAGGACAGGCCCCAGAAGGGATGGCAGATGGGCTGGGACCTGAATGAAAAGGAGCCAGCCATTCAAAGAACTGGATTTGTGGAAAAATGAGGTCCACTCTAGTCAGCAGGAATAGCCACTGCAAAGATCTGAAGTCAGAAAGGAGCTGGGTGTATCTGAGGAACTAAAAGGCCAATGGGGCAGCAGCACAGTGAGTAAGGCAGGACATGGTAATGGGAGAAAGGACTCCAAATCCTGCAGATACATCCTGTTTACTCCATTAGGATCTGTAGAATCTGTCTCCTCCTTTTCATTTCCACAATTACTTTTGTACAATGGCATTCAGATGAGTTGTTCACTGACTGAGAGATGTACTTTCCCTCATTTTCTGTTTAGTCAGTTCCTGTTCCTCCTTCAAAACTCATTCCAATCATCATCTCCTCAGAGAAACCTTTCCTAGCCTGCCCACCCTGACAGAGTTGGAAGCCCCTTCCATGTTCCTAGGTACCTTCTGTATACCTCTACTCAGCATTACCACACTTCACTGTCATTGTTTATCTGCTTTCCCTCTGCATGTTTTACCTCTGCAACCCCCAAACCTTAGCTAGGTACCCCAAGGTGTTTGTCAGAGAAATATTTAAAATATCACTAACCCTACAGCTGAGCTGATCACTGCCTCACCAGACTTAATGGTTTGGAAATGCTCTAAATAGTCAATCTCATATCACATTGTCTACATTACTAATTGTCCTCATTACTGATTTTACCTAATGCACAACAATTTTTTTTTCAAATGAAAATGTACAGTTCCATTATAGAGGGAACACTTAATAACTATATATTTGGTAAGCAGCATTATTCCTTAGCTCTTGAGAGCTACCTGCAAACTAATACCTAAACTTTACCACTCTATTCCTAGTGCTTGGCAGAAAGTCCAAAGAAATACATATTTCCTGAATGAATAAATAATTACTGATTTAACAAGAACCCATATCAAATTCCTAAAAGTCTTAACTCAAATTATAAATATAAACTAATTTGAATAGTCTAATAGAATTTCATACTTTCCTATTTGGTATTATTTTTCACAGAAAATAAAAAGTTTAGATTTATTTTATAGATTACATGTCAATTAAAATAGGTTCATGTGCATAAATTGTTAAAGTAATAAACTTGTGAAGGACACTCAAAAATATTAATACATTTTTTCAAGTTTTTTAAGCTATCAAATTGAAATGAAATAATCCAAAACAACACTTTCAAAAATCTATCTCTTTAAAATAAGGGCTGAGAAGAAAAAAGAAATAAAATTGAAAATATCAGAAGATGACTTTGAAGCACTTGCCTAAATACATGTTGTCTTGAATACTGCTTTACAAACTGTGGTCAAGAACTATTCAATATTTTTTTTAAATTTGTTGAAAAGCTATGCTTTTGTAAAACAAACACACACCACAAGCTATGAATGTGCACGTAAATGTTGCAACAATGTCAAGTGGCATTCCAGTTTCTATGTTCACTCTTGATTTCTGTACTTATCTTGTCTCAGATCATTTAGCACACAGGAACTCTTTACAGCCATAATTTGAGCAACACTAAGCCTTGCACACAAGTTGAGACTTCTAATACAATTACTCGGCCTATTCTGTCATTGTGGCTTTGTGGGAGGAATGTGAGGATGTTACTGAGGATCTCAATGCAAACCTCATACCCCCTCACAT